TTGATATTGGGTAAAAACATATATTATACTTGAATCAATATTTATACTTACCCCTTGGCACAATCCTGAATCTCACTATCAACATATATCCTTCACAATTCAATCTCACCTGTGAGGCTCCTGTCTCTCCTCTATCTCCTCCTGTCTCTCTTCCATTTCCTTCTGTCTCTCTTCCTGCCTCTCCTCCTCCATCTTTTCCATCTCCTCCAGTCTCTTTACTACTTGTCATCTGACAAAAAATATATTGATGCAAGACATGTGAACAGTGGGACAATTTGAGATGCAACAGTCATAGATTTTTATTGTTGTAGCCTGAGGAAAACATACTGTATGTTTTACAATTGTGTAATTCATTAAACAACATCTGAATGTATATAGGCTAAAGAACAGCCATAATGTCAACACGGGTTAGTCAGCTTCATCATGTTAAACATAAATAAAATAAATCAACAAAAATGTAAATGCTCCAAAATCATTATAATACAACTGTGTGCAAAATGTTGCACTTACACCCAATATCTATTACATAAATATGACTCAGTGTTGGTGTTTTTACTGGGAGCAGCGGATCTCTGTTCTCCTAAGTCTCACCTTAACACACCATGGATGCTGAAGACTGTCACTGAAGGAGCTATTATTTATAGTGTTTACACTTTATTTATTCAGACTGTTTCTATCATGTCATCTTACTACAAACATTAATTTGAACTGTGTCATCACTACATGACATCTATGATTGCTGATGGAGCATGTGAAGTGGAATTTCATGTTCTCTGGCATATAATATTGATCTAATAGTTGCCAAACTTAGCTCAGCTAGTATCTCATTATCTAGCAAAGAGTTGCCAAGGAACGCCATTCAGTTAGCCTAACATCAACAGGTGTTTTTTTTTTTTAGCTTTTTTACTGAACCAACCTACTCACCGTTCACACTCGGCGGTCCGCTGTGGAGCGCTAACGGTGACGCGTGTGTATGTGTCGTTCCCTCACGAACTGCCGTGAACTGTACGGTGATGCGCACCCACAAAGTCAGTGGAGAGAGTGGCGCTGGGGAGGACCAATCACACGTTACCAAAATAACGGTAGAGCCAATCGATGAGCGGTACGAGGTTAGAGGCGGGACATATGGTAGACGCCAACGATTGTTAACCCTTTGTGTACCATATTGCGCGGACGCCGACAGCCAGTGTTTATATTGGTAGTGACAATACAGAAGGGGCTGAATATTCGTAGGGACGTGTCCCTACCGTCCCTACCCAATCCTACGCCTATGGGCTACTGTTCAATGTCAAGGTCAAGCAGAGATAAACATTTCAATTTCTACTGGGTATTTTGTCAGCAGAATAATTGAGTAAAACCTACATTAATTTAGACTCCCAGTTTAAAATCTCACACATCTTACCTTTCTTCTGGTACCAAATGTATGCCTGCAGCCCCTGTAGTTATTGAGATATACTCATTTGAATGTTGGTATATGTTGTTTTAGGTGGAACATAAAAAAACATGCTCAGGGCTTAAGGTGCTGGCTGCACTAGTTGGGCTGGTGACATCAAAGGGTGGAGTGAATAGTCAAGTAACCTACTTTTATGATAAGATAGCACTCTTTGGAACATATTAATAACATTTTGGGGTGATAGTTATCCTTACTTTAATAATGAGAGACATATATATACAGTGCCCTCCAAAAGTATTGGAACAGTGAGTCCAATTCGTTTACTTTTGTTGTAGACTGAAAACATTTGGGTTTGACATCAAAAGATGAATATGAGACAAGAGATCAACATTTCAGCTTTTATTTCCAGGTATTTACATCTGGATCTGATACACAACTTAGAAGACAGCATTATTTGTAATGGAACACAAAATTTTTAGGTGAGCAAAAGTATTGGAACATATAAACTTAAAATAGATTAAAGTGAATGAGACTTAATATTTAGTTGCAAATCCTTTGCTTTCAATAACTGCATCAAGCCTGTGACCCATTGACATCACCAAACTTTTGCATTCTTCTTTTGTGATGCTTTTCCAGGCTTTCACCGCAGCCTCTTTCAGTTGTTGTTTGTTTTGGGGGGTTACTCCCTTCAGTCTCCTCTTCAGCAGGTAAAATGCATGCTCTATTGGGTTTAAGTCTGAAGACTGACTTGGCCAGTCTAAAACCTTCCACTTCTTGCCCCTGATGAACTCCTTTGTTGTTTTGGCAGTGTGTTTTGGGTCGTTATCTTGCTGCATGATGAAGGATCTCCCAATCAGTTTGGTTGCATCTTTCTTTAAATTAACAGACAGAATGTTTCTGTAGACTTCTGAGTTGATTTTGCTGCTGCCATCATGTGTTACATCATCAATGAGGATGAAAGAGCCCGTCCCAGAAGAAGCCATGCGAGCCCAAGCCATGACATTACCTCCACCGTGTTTCACAGATGAGCTTGTATGTTTGGGATCATGAGCAGATCCTTTCTTTCTCCAAACGTTCACCTTTCCATCACTTTGAAAAAAGTTAATCTTTGTCTCATCAGTCCATAAAACTTTTTCCCAGAATTTTTGAGGCTCATCTCTGTACCTTTTGGCAAATTCCAGCCTGGCCTTCCTATTCTTCTTGCTAATGAGTGGTTTGCATCTTCTGGTGTAGCCTCTGTACTTTTGTTCATGAAGTCTTCTGCGAACAGTAGATTGTGATACCTTCACTCCTGCCCTCTGGAGGTTGTTGCTGATGTCACTAACAGTTGTTTTAGGGTCTTTCTTGACAGCTCTCACAATGTTTCTGTCATCAACTGCTGATGTTTTCCTTGGTCTACCTGTTCGACGTCTGTTGCTTAGTACACCAGTGGTTTCTTTCTTCTTCAGGACATTCCAAATGGTTGTACTGGCTATGGCCAATGTTTGTGCAATGGCTCTGATTGATTGTCCATCTTCTCTCAGATTCACAATTGCTTCTTTTTCACCCATAGACAGCTCTCTGGTTTTCATGTTGGTTCCACCTCTAAATGCAGTCTGCACAGGCAAAGCCTATCGTACCCAATCTGAAACTGAGCTCAGACATTCAGTGCTATTTATTGTTTGAATAATCAGCGTAATTGGGAGACACCTGGGCAACAAAACACACCTGTCAGTCACATGTTCCAATACTTCTCCTCTCATGAAAAATGGGTGGGTTCAAACAAAAGGTGCTATCTTCTAAGTTGTGTATCAGATCCAGATGTAAATACCTGGAAATGAAAGCTGAAATGTTGATCTCTTGTCCCATATTCATCTTTTGATGTCAAACCCAAATATTTTCAGTCTACAACAAAAATAAAGGAATTGGCCTCACTGTTCCAATACTTTTGGAGGGCACTGTATACATACCTTTGGATTTTTTATTTCCTAATAAATTCTCGCCTATAATTCATATTGTATTCGTATTGTATGCAATAACTGTCTATGAACATCCAGTCAAAATCTGGTGACATTCTGATGATTATTTCCAGAGATACATCTGATAAGGCAGATGCTGTCCCTTTTGGAGGAGCCACAATTTTAACAATATTCGGTTTTGGGGAGTATCCAAACATCAACCAAATAAACTAAGTTTGCAGTAAAATATTTTTATACAACCATCCATTTCAGAAACTAGACTTATTAAAGTTATGAAAAAACATGGTTGTGCTTTGTTCTACCTCGGGTAGGGGTATCTCAAAAACTAAAGTCTTTTTTGGGATTTGTTGTTGTTTTTTGCACTGTTTGGCTGTATTTGAAAGTTAATGAGCAGGAAGTGCCGGCCAGACTGTTTGCTGTATTGTAAAAACAGAGAGTGAAAACACTGAGATCAAACAGTAAAACTCTCTCACTCACTCAAACCTTTATTTAAGACTCGGGAAATCAATTGAGGGAGACTCTCATTTTCAGTGATGCCGAGCATGAACAAAGTGCCACAGCCCCTTTCCTCTGTTTTCTCTGGTCATTTCAAAAGTGTGTAAAAAGACCATTGTTTCAGCAGTAAAATGAATGGATTAATGTTCTTTATAAGTAATGCTCTTTCTCATACTGTTTATATTGATTATGTAACACATTGCTGTTAAAGTTCACTGCCGTAAGATTTTACGCTTACTTCTTCATGTTGTTGGCGTTACATCCATTAAAAAAAACAAGTAAAAAAACAGTTGTCATTGTGAAATCCACAAAGTCACATTAAAATCAACCTTTCATGTTATCTTATTGATATTAATTAATTTCATTAATCAAAGCTGCTGTCTCATGTAGATCTGTTGTCTGAACACAAGATGGTGCCGTTGTTTTGCAACATTGCATTACCTGCTGTTTGACTGAAACTGTGTGTATGTGTGAGTGGAGGAGGGTGTCTGTCTGTCTGTCTGTCTGTCCGTCCTACTTTTACCCACATCAGTACAGGTGAGGTGACTGTCAGTCTGTCAGTGTGAATATGAACTCCACCCTGAGCCCTGGACAAACAATAAGCCGCCACTCAGTTTGTGTGTTTGTGCACGAAAGGTCAACTAATATTTTTCCATTCAAATATTTACATTGTTTGGAGTGTACTTTCCATACTCTGTTTTTCTTCTTTAGAATATTGGACGATCATTAATTTGGTCCTCCATAGTGGGCAGAAAATGTCTTTAAAGGTTCCCCCTAAGTCCAGCTCCTGCTGCATTACATTAGTTTGATTTTAATGTCTGAAATGGAGGTGGCAGAGGACCCCTGGAATACCAACCTGACATGATCCTCTTATCTCAACAACAGTCGACCCTTTAAAACACAAAACTGAAACAGCAAGAAAAACCTGCAGAAAGCTCACAGCTTTCTTTTCTCCTCCAATGATCTGTGTGCCATTAAAGAATAAAATAAAATGAATGAAACTGCACATGTGCAAATAAAAACAAAAAAAACAAAACACATTAGAAATCTCCTAAGCTTCCCAGAACCCTTAGAAACCTACAGCTAACTACTGAAAATATATTTTTAAAAAAAGTTCATTATTATTACTTAAATGTTGTTTCTCTTCTTCTCAGCATCTCTGGCAGGAATGAGGCTCCAGCAAGGAGACATCGCTGTAAGTTAACATAAAACCAGTCTGTCGTTTAGCCTGTGGTGGAGGAAGTACTCAGATCCTTTACTGCAGTAAAAGTACCAATAGCCTACTACACAGTAAAAATACTCTGTTACAGTAAAAGTACTTCAATGAAAGTGTTCCTTCAGTAAAAGTATGAAGGTATAATCAATAAAATATTGTTAAAGTATCAAACTGTTAATATTACAATATATGATCTCATTACATGATTCTGACTTATGCATTCATGTTAAAGGAGGATTTTACTGTTGGAGATGGTTGAGATGGAGCTCATTTTGAACTATTAACTAATGATGATTTTTGTTATGGATTAATCGGCTGATTATTTTCTCCATTAATTGATTGATTGTTTGGTTTCTAAATTAGTGAAAATAGTGACCAGTGTTCGTCACAATGAGCCAGAGCACAAAGTGACACATTCACAACGTTTGTTTGTTTAACCCCAACATTATTACTGATACATTACAATCACTAACATTATTACCAATACATTACAATTATTAACATTATTACCGATACATTACAACTATTAAAGGAAATGGCCACTTTAGAATGAAAATACAGACAGTACTTACTCACCCTCATGCCGACAAGAAGTCCAGTGTAGTTTTTTAATCCACAAAACTTGTTCAGGGTATCAGAGGATAACAGCCAGCCGGATTTTTCCATACACTTGAAGTGCACGGAACCCACATTTTGAAAATGTAATAAAAATCTGTGCTAATGCATTTCAAAAACATCAGAATTGCTTGTCTGTCGTAATCCAAGTGCCCTGAAGCCGCAGCATGCAAAACTGACTTGAAAAGACGTAATTTACTCCACTTTTATAGCATAATTTCTCACTGTGGTCAGTTAGCCTGCCCTGCAGGCATGCTGTGTTTACATGGCAACTCGCACGAGACTAGCTGATGGCTAGTGGTGGTGATAGTTCTCGAGTCTCGCGCTACACTGGACTTCTTGTCGGCATGAGGGTGACTACTGTCTGTATTTTCATTCTAAAGTGGCCATTTCTTTTAATATAATTACCAATACATTACAATTATTAACATTATCACTAATACATTACAGTTACCAACATTATTACTAATACATTACAGTTTATAACATTGTTACTAATAAATTACAGTCACTAACATTATTACTAATAAATTACAATTACCAACATTATTACTAATGCATTTCAAAAAACTAAGGTTATTATCAATACTTTACATTTATTAACATAATTTCTAATACATTACAAATATGAGTATTATTACTAATACATTACTGTTATTACCATTATTACTGATATATTACATTTACAGTATTAGCATTATGACTAATACATTACAAATATTAGCATTATTACCAATACGTTACAGTTATTACCATTATTACTAATACATAACAATTATCATTATTATTCAACGGAAAAGTTTGTAAAGCTGGAACCATTAAATATTTTTACAGGAAAAATTACTTCAACCATCAAAATTGATTCACTTTAAGTTTCTGTCAATCCACTAATGGATTATGGACTTATGATTTCAGCTGGAGTCAGCTGGAGTCAGCTGCACTATGAAGTGTTTATAACTAAACATCAGATTTTACAAACTTTTCATATGTTTTGTCTCAAAAGTCTTAATTTATAAATTAACTAAACACTCAAGTACAGTGCAAGTAGCTGGAAATTGTACTTAAATACAGTACTTGAATAAATGTACTTAGTTACATTCCACCACTACATTGAGCTAACACTTCTGTCAAAATGTGTGTGTCCAGGTGAGTTTGGGTACCAGTGATACAGTGTTTCTGTGGATCCAGCAGCCTTGCCCGGCGTTGGAGGGTCACATCTTCTGTAACCCAGTGGACTGGCAGGCGTTCATGGCTCTGCTGTGGTATGTGTGTTTACATTTACACCTTTAATAAGCAGCGGTATAAAGAGACAGAGTAAATGGTTCTGACTTCAGGTGAAAATAACACCTGCAGGTCTATTAGCTACCAGAACTGCTCTCTCTGGGTGTTTACCAGATATTCATTAATTTTGTGTGTTTTTTATGTAATAGTTTCCCATTTTGGGAAATATTTGCCAATACCAGATTCAGACTGATTCCATTCTCATATCAATAGCCTACAGTTAGATATGAATCTACAGCAGGTGGTTAGCTTAGCTTAGCATAGCACAAAAACTGAAAACTGGGGGAAACAGCTAGCCTGGCTCTGTCCAAAGGTAATACAATCTTCTCCCCTTCTAAATCTCCTTTCCCTTCTAAATTTCTCTGATGTTTTATAACTGGTTGGTATGGAAGCCCATTGCTGCCAATGTAATGGAAAAAGAAGAAACTGAAACTGAATAAGAAACTTATAAGTCATTTTAATAAGAAACTTTTGCATCGGAAAATTATGACTAAAGCACTATTTGGACGGGATTACTTTTACATAGGTACATAGCGTAAAGTAATAATTACCAGAGATTTTAGTCCCGTCTGAATGTGCCATGTCAGTAGTCATTACCGCACGATGTCAGTAAAGATTACCGCGACTTTTACCTTCTGTAAAAGGGTCCCAGAAAATTACCTCAGGTAATACTGATCCCACGCGAATAGACCAGCAGTAAATATCTGTGTTAGGGCTGTCAAAAAAAATTGAAGTTCAAAATATATTCGAATATATATATTTTTTATAAGTTCTAACCTAAATTTGATAATTTGAATATCATTAATAATTAGTTAATACTATCAGTAATGTTGTATATCACGGCGAATCCCGTTCGGGTGGAGATGGCTCGCGCACAAGCCGGGCCAGAGAGGGACACAGAGACGGAGGGAAAGGCGCCGACGGAGGAGCCTGCTGCGCCAACACCACCCACTGCGCTGTCCGGGATGTGTGACCTGTTCGGGGAGACGTACAGGGAGAGTGTTGCACCTGCTGCCTCCCTGCCTACCCTTTTTGAAGAAGAGATGAAACGTTACCAGAATGAGACACCACTACAAGCCGACCAGGATCCACTGTTGTGGTGGAAAACTACGCACTGAAGTATCCAAACATTGCTCAGATAGCGAGGCAGAAGTTGGTCATACCTGGCACTTCAGTGAGGTCAGAATGGGTGTTTTCATCCGAGTGTCACGTTCATATTGCGTCAGCAATAAGCATGTTATTTTTTGTGTTTTTTTTTTAATGTAAATAAATAAATAAATAAATAAATAATAAGTTTGAATATTATTCAAACTCTACTAAATTAATTCGAAAATATTCAAACTCAGTTTTATGGTGCTTTTGACAGTCCTATCATGCGTACATGATGACAGGAGGGGACGGCGGTGCATGAATGGATTTACCCCTCCCACTTGTAGTTTTACTGACATTTCTTATCCCGTGCGAATTGGCTATTAATATTACCGACGTCCTGTAGTTAAGTGGCATTACCCCACGTGCCCATGTAAAACTAATCCCATCCGAATAGTGCTTTAGTAAGTCAAAATAATGACTTAGTATCTTGAAATAATGATAAAGTACTGCAAAATTATGACTTAGTATCTCAAAATTATGACTAAGCATGGAAAAATTATTAGTTATTAACTCAAATTAATGACTTCATATCAATATTGCCATCCTATGATTTAGTGACTGAAAATAATGACAGTGACTGAAATGAATGATGATGAAATAATGACTCGATCATAACAAAATCATTTAGAATTGTGACTCAGTATTTCAAAATAAGGAGTTTGTATTTCAAAATTATAACTTAGAATTTCAAATCTATGATTTAGTTTGGCAAAATTATGACCAAGTAACCCAGGGACTTACTATGTCAAAAATAATGACTATGATAAAATTATAAGTATTAAAAAAATAGGATTTAGTGACTCAAAATAATGACTTTGTATTGAAAAACTTTGACTCCATATTTCAAAATAATGACTTAGTATCCTGAAATGATGATTAGTATTGCAAAATTATGACTTAGTATTTCAAAATAATGACTTAGTATCTTGAAAGGATTTAGTATCACAACATTATCACTTAGCATCCCAGGATATTGACCTAATATGTTGAAATGATTTACAATTAAAACATTATGACTAAGTACCTCAAAATAATGTCTTCTTAGTATTGACAATTATAACCACGTATCTCAGAGTAATAATTTTGTATCTCCAACTGATGATTTAAAAGGATAAACTTATGTCTTAGAATCTTAGAATCTTAGAAGTTTTTTTAGTTATAAAGTTTGCGAATGGACCACACTTACCACGCAACAGGAGAGAATGAACCTGAACCGTCATCTGCGAGGAAAAGAAGACGCAACTTCACTCCTTGTGATGCACTCTCTGTGGCGCTTTTCCTCCTGATGATATATCTCCACAACGATGGTAGCACCGAATCCCATTCTGTGCATTCAGCCTCTCTTCTCGCCCGCTCAGCATCAAACACATGGAGTTCCTCATCTGTATGCTCCGGCTCAAACAGGTATGGCTCTGGGTCTGTGTCCGCTACAAGAAACTCTTCAAAATCGCGTTCAAAGTCGTCCATTGCAGCTACTATAGTCCAGAGATATTGCTAGGCTAAATAAACAGCTGAACTCTGTTTACCGGCTACGCCGTCAGTCAGTGTGTGGGCTGGAGATTGAGCAGAAAGGGGAGGGGGTCCCCACTCAGCATGGTAAACAAGTATGTGTGTATGAAGTGTGTCTGTTACGCTAGAAGAGTCAGAGTTTGGGACGGAGTCTTTTACACCCTGGAGTGTTACTGGAGTTTTTGGAGTGCTCAAATAAACTGGGCTTTTTCCCAAACGCTCCTCTGGTCTCCTGCTCGTGAGGGATTCATTACAATATCGTAACATGGTTTAGATTTCTAAATAAACATTCACCTCGGCGCTAGATAGACCTACTCCTGAAAAACTGTGCAAGGCTTTTTGTCCCTACGAGGACACCGTCATTTACCCGACGGGAGGGGTGAGCGAGTGAGCCCTGCAATCTAGAATTTGACCACTGATGTCACTGTTTTCAACCCATTTTACACACTGGCCCTTTAATATATTAAAGTAATGATTTAGTATTGCAAAATTAGGACTTTTTATCTCAAAACAATGACTTTGTATAGCAAGATAATGACTTAGTTTCTTGACATAATCATGTAATATTGCAAAATTATCATCTTAAAATAATGACAAACTTTCTCAAAAAAAATCTCATTATCTTGAGTAGTTTCTTATTATTGAGACTTACAGAATTTTTTTTCATCACATTGGTGGAAATGGGCTTCCACAGCTTTGTTTGATTTGTGTACAAACAAAATTTACAGGGATGTGGTGCTGGACTTTGTTTTTTTTTTAGCTGGGACCAGTTGCCTGGCAACCAGCAGGAAGTTACTTAACATTACATAAAATCCACATTGTCTCTTCTTTGCACAAATGCTATAGGAACATTTCAGTGTTTTTAACCATTTTTATATTCTTACAGAGCTGCTCAGCTGACTATCTTCATTAATTTAATTGAGGTTAACTGTGGCACAAGTGTGCACCGTGCAGCTGTATTACAGTATGTAGGAAAAAATGAACAGAAATACAAAAACACATACCAGATCAGATTCCATATTCTTGACTGAGCTAGGAAAAGAAGGATGGGGGTCTAAGCAAGATGAAGTATATATCTGTAAAAGAGAAATTGTAGGAAATATAATGATATTTAAAAGAATAGAAAGGTAATAAAAAACCCCATTAAGAGCAATGAGGAAAAAAGAAACTTTAGCTAAAATGCAGTGAAGGAGAGGAAATGTAGGAAAAGAAGAAGAGAAGTGGAGCAATGGACACAGATAGATTAAAAGGATGAATGGTATAACCTGCAGGCTGGCCAGAGGCAGTGAAAGTTAAAACCCACTGAGACTGAGCCACTTGTTCGTTAAAAAGCTGCAGAAGAAGAAAACCCCCTCGGGTTTATTGATTTCCTCCAACAACAAAAAGGAAGAAACATTTTGGGCGGTTTGCTGCTGCAGCCTCAGGAAAGCTCCATCAGTGTACAGCACTCACACCTTCAACACGTCGTCAGTATGTTTTCTGTCAGTTCACCTGCAGGAGGTCCAAGGTTCCTCTTGTCTGTGAGACTGTATCAGTTCATTCTGCCTTTTTATGCCTTTTTCTAGTTAACATCACAGAAATATATGACATTAAAAACTACAGAACAGCTAAGAGGAGTATGACTGTACAAATTAATAGAGCTTCAATGGACTAACCTTTAATTTCAAGACATTTTATGTGTATTATTTATATTTTACAAATATTTTTCAGTTATTATTACAGTTACTTCTTGTTTGTTCCACACAGAAGGATTTTAATACTTTGTTTTACCTGCCTTTTGTTTGTGGTTCAATAAAGAATAATAAATAGAAAATGTGTGTGTGTGGGTGTGTCTCCACAGCTTTAAGAATGGTTCTCTGACAAGGGAACGAATCAGGAACAAGTGTGCTGGAGGATCATGGGAACATTTTTCAGTGGCCTTGAGAGAAACACCGCTTGGAAACAATGGAAACATAGGTTCTTTTCTTCCTTTACCATTTCCTACCTCCTTTAATCCAAATTTCCTTCCTTCCTTCCTTCCTTCCTTCTTTTTGTCTTTTCCTATGTCCTTCTCTGTCCCCTCTGAAATTTCTCAATTGTGGGATCAATAAAGGTGTATCTTATCTTAACTCTATGTTCATTCTTTCTTCCTCCCTAACCCCTTCATTTCTTTTTTCAATCTACTTTCCTTAGTTTCCTTTTCCTTCCTTCTTTTCCTGCATTATTTCTTCCCTCCCTCCTTTTGTATTTACCTATTTCCTTCTTCTTGAACTCCACTTTTCCTGTCTTTCTTCCTCCCTTCTTTCTTGTTATGTTTCCTAACTCATTTGCTCATAAATTCATTCTTTCCCTCCTTTTCTTCCTTCTCCTTTCTTTATTTTTCTGCTTCCTTTCTTCCATCTTTCCTGCTACCTGTTTTTGCTTTCCCTTGCTTCCTTAACTTTTAACTCCTCTTTCGTCCCTCCCCCCTCTGATTGGTTGTTTGATGTGTTTCCAGGCTTTTATTTTGACACCTTAGAGATCACACCTCCTGCAATTGGAGTTCATCGCTTCAACCAGGATGACAACAAGGTTGGTGGTGAGACATTCAGACACACACAGGGAGAGATGGAGGGTGTTTCTCAAAGTCAAGGATCCTGCAGAGGCAAGGCAAGAGTCCTCCCAAGCATTCAGTGGACACACATTGGAACAGGCTAACAAATGTCCCCACGTGATCATCGTTAACCCTCAGCAGACTGAGGGGGTTTCAGTTAGTGATAATTTTGGCACTCTGTAATGTTGTTGGACAGTTTTAAACACATGTACCAGTGTTGTCAGAATCACGTGACTTTTAGGGAGAATATATTTCTGGATCATATTTAAGAGTAAGTGGAGTAATGAAGTAAAGACTACAGCTGAAAAAGTTCTAAATTATCATTGACAGTATATAAACAGACTCACAGACAGAATCATTTAACAGTGATCCCTTTTTTAATACATATTTTCTGTGTGTGTGACCACACACTGCGCTACAATAATATGAATAGCAGATCTGATGATTGCACCAATTGTAGCCTACATCATACCACCGGGTAATCCTCTGAAATAAGTTGACCTCAAAACAAAAGAGTGATGCTTTGACCTGCAGGATATTCTAATGTCTTTACTGTGGCCGCTCTCACCGCGATTCCCCCGAAATATACACCTATTGAAACTGGTAGAATGAAAACAGTTACCAAGTCGTTATCATGTGAATAGTAGGGGCACTTAGCGCTCCATCTCTGCTGTGAATGAGCCATGGTTGTATTGGCGACAAAGACGTGCTGACGTATTGCGGTAAGCGAGTTGTGTCATTTCCGGTGTTTCTGTGACAGTGTCTCTGTACTGCTCTGGTGAATTCTGCTAGCCTGCTTTCTCACCTCAGTTGCTTTAACGCTGCTTTAACGTCTACTTCAAGTCATAACCCACACTGGTTCTGTTTAAGCACTTATAGCTCTCCTTCTTTCTACGACTTTCTCGCTAATCTCTTAGCTGTTGTTTGCACGCTCTTAGCCTTGTTAGCTACTTTAGCTTAGCCATGGCTTCTCCTTCTCCTGCTCTTTCTTGCCCGGTGTGCCAAATGTTCAGTTATGCCTCTGCCTCCTTTAGCGACAGTGGTAATTGTAATAAGTGTAGCTTATTTGCTGCGTTGGAGGCGAGGCTTAGTGAATTAGAAGCGCGGCTCCGCACCATGGAAAACCATTCAGTAGCTGCGGTAGTTAGCCAGCCCCCTGTAGCCGGTGCGGAGCCACATAGCATAGCCTTAGCCTCAGCTAACTGTCCTCCGGTAACTCCCGTTCAGCCGGGAGGTTGGGTTACGGTTCGCCAGAAGCACAGCTCCAAGCAGAAGCCCACGGCTCACCACCAGCCTGTTCACGTTTCCAACCGCTTTTCCCCACTCAGCGACACACCCGCTGAGGATAAAACTCTGGTTATTGGCAGCTCTATTCTGAGGAACGTGAAGTTAGCAACACCAGCGGCCATAGTCAAATGTATCCCTGGGGCCAGAGCGGGCGACATTGAATCAAATTTAAAACTGCTGGCTAAAGCTAAACGTAGATTCAGTAAGATTGTTATTCACGTCGGCGGCAATGACACCCGGTTACGCCAATCGGAGGTCACTAAAATTAATATTGCCTCGGTGTGTGAATATGCAAAAACGATGTCGGACTCCGTAGTTTTCTCTGGACCCCTCCCAAATCTGACCAGTGATGACATGTTTAGCCGCATGTCATCATTTAACCGCTGGCTGTCCAGGTGGTGTCCAGCAAACGATGTGGGTTTTGTTAATAATTGGCAAACTTTCTGGGGAAAACCTGGTCTTATTAGGAGAGACGGCATTCACCCCACTTTGGATGGAGCTGCTCTCATTTCTAGGAACCTGGCAAATTTTATTAGTAATTTAAATCCCTGACAACCCAGAGTTGAGACCAGGACAGAGAGTTGCAGTCCTAAACGCCTCTCTGAGCTTCTAGTTCAGTTACCCAGCCATAGTTTTCATAGTTTTATACAAACGGTGTCTGTCCCCCGACCACCTAAATTATTTAAATCTAAAATTAAACAAAGAGGAGTTGTGCATAACAACCTCATAAAAATTAAAACCTCTTCTGTGACAGAAAGACAAAACAGGAGAATTAAATGCGGACTGTTAAATATCAGGTCTCTATCGTCTAAAGCAGTGTTAGTAAACGAATTAATATCAGATAATCATATTGATTTACTCAGTCTCACTGAAACCTGGCTGTGTCAAGATGAATATGTTAGTCTAAATGAGTCCACTCCTCCCAGTCATAATAATACCCACATTCCTCGAGGCAGCGGCCGAGGAGGGGGAGTTGCAGCCATTTTTAACTCTAGTCTGTTAATCAGCCCTAAACCTAAACTAGATTATAATTCATTTGAAAGCCTCGTTCTTAGTGTTTTACATCCGACCTGGAAAACCTCGCAGCCACTTTTATTTGTTATAGTGTACCGTGCTCCTGGCCCGTATTCTGAATTTGTATCTGAATTCTCAGAGTTTTTATCCAGTTTAGTTCTTAAATCAGATAAAGTTATTATTGTAGGCGATTTTAACATTCATGTCGACGTTGATAATGACTCCCTGGCTACCGCGTTTATCTCATTAATAGACTCCATTGGCTTCAGTCAGGGTGTACATGAACCCACTCACTGTTTTAACCATACCCTCGATCTAGTTCTGACGTATGGAATTGAAATTGATAACCTAAAAGTCTTTCCACAGAATCCCTTGCTATCAGATCATTATCTGATTACTTTTGATTTCTTTTTACTCGATTACACGCCACTCAGCAACAGTTACTATACTAGATGTTTATCAGATAGTGCTGTCACAAAATTTAAGGAAAAGATTACTTCGTCGTTAAATTCAATACCAATACCTTCAGTAACAGAGGTTTCCCGTGCCGACTTTAACCTCTCCCAAATTGATCATTTTGTTGATAGCGCCGTAGGCTCGCTGCGAACAACGCTCGACTCTGTAGCTCCTCTTAAAAAGAAGTTAACAAAGCAAAGAAAGTTTGCTCCTTGGTATAACTCTCAAACCCGTAGGTTAAAACAAATATCGCGAAAATTTGAAAGGAATTGGCGATTAACCAAACTGGAAGAATCTCGTTTAATCTGGACAGACAGTCTCAAAACTTATAAGAGGGGCCTCCGCAATGCCAGAGCAAACTATTACTCAGCATTAATAGAAGAAAACAAGAACAACCCCAGGTTTCTTTTCAGCACTGTAGCCAGGCTGACTGAGAGTCAAAGCTCTATTGAGCCTTGTATTCCTTTAGCCCTTAGCAGTAATGATTTTATGAGCTTTTTTAATGACAAAATTCTAACTATTAGAGGCAAAATTCATGACCTCCTGCCCTCAGATGGTAGGCCTACCTATCTAACCTCAAACACAGCTGTAGAATCTAATATATATTTAGATTGCTTCTCCCCAATTTCTCTTCAAGAATTGACCGCAGTGATTTCTTCATCTAAATCATCAACGTGTCTCTTAGACCCCATCCCAACTAGGCTACTTAAGGAGGTCTTTCCTTTAGTTAACACTCATATATTAGATATGATCAATATATCCCTATTAACAGGCTATGTACCACAGTCTTTTAAGGTAGCTGTAATTAAACCTCTCCTAAAAAAGCCCACCCTGGATCCAGAGGTGTTAGCCAACTATAGACCAATATCTAATCTTCCCTTTATGTCAAAGATCCTTGAGAAAGTAGTCGCAGACCAGCTGTGTGATTTTCTCCAGGATAATAATTTATTTGAGGAATTTCAGTCAGGATTTAGAGTGCATCATAGCACTGAGACAGCTCTAGTTAAAATTACAAATGACCTTCTGATTGCTTCAGACAAAGGACTCGTCTCTGTTCTTGTTTTATTAGATCTTAGTGCGGCGTTTGACACAATTGACCATCAAATTCTACTGCAGAGACTGGATCACTTAATTGGCCTAAAAGGTTCAGCACTAAGCTGGTTTAAATCTTATTTATCTGATCGTTTTCAATTTGTTGACGTTCGTAATGAATCATCCTTACGTACCAAAGTTTGTTTTGGAGTTCCGCAAGGTTCTGTGCTCGGACCAATCCTATTTACTCTATATATGCTTCCTTTAGGTAACATCATTAGAAATCACTCTATAAATTTCCATTGTTATGCGGATGATACACAGTTGTATTTATCGATGAAGCCAGAAGAAAGTAATCAATTAACTAAACTCCATAACTGCCTTAAAGACATAAAAAATTGGATGAGCACCAATTTCCTGATGTTAAATTCAGACAAAACTGAAGTTATTGTTCTTGGCCCCAAACAACTCAGAGACTCTTTATCTGATGACATAGTTTCTCTAGATGGCATTGCTCTGGCCTCTAGCACTACCGTAAGAAACCTCGGAGTAATATTTGATCAAGATTTGTCTTTTAATTCTCATTTAAAGCAAACCTCACGGACTGCATTTTTTCATCTGCGTAATATTGCGAAAATTAGGCCTATCCTGACCCGAAAAGATGCAGAAAAATTGGTCCACGCTTTTGTTACCTCAAGGCTGGATTACTGTAACTCTCTATTATCAGGTAGCTCTAGTAAGTCCTTAAAAACTCTCCAGCTAATTCAGAATGCAGCAGCACGTGTACTAACAGGAACTAAGAAACGAGATCATATTTCTCCTGTTTTAGCTTCTCTGCACTGGCTCCCTGTAAAATCCAGAATTGAATTTAAAATCCTACTGTTAACTTATAAAGCTCTAAATGGTCAAGCTCCGTCATATCTTAGAGAGCTCATAGTGCCATATTATCCCACCAGAACACTGCGCTCTGAGAACGCAGGGTTACTCGTGGTCCCTAAAGTCTCCAAAAGCAGATCAGGAGCCAGAGCCTTCAGCTATCAGGCTCCTCTCCTGTGGAATCATCTTCCTGTTACGGTCCGGGAGGCAGACACCGTCTCCACATTTAAGACTAGACTTAAGACTTTCCTCTTTGATAAAGCTTATAGTTAGGGCTGGCTCAGGCTTGCCCTGTACCAGCCCCTAGTTAGGCTGACTTAGGCCTAGTCTGCCGGAGGACCCCCTATAATACACCGGGCTCCCTCTCTCTCCCTCTCTCTCTCTCTCTCTCTCTCTCTCTCTCTCTCTCTCTCACTCTCATCCTATTACTGCATCTTGCTAACTCGGCCATTCTGGATGTCACTAACTCGGCTTCTTCTCCGGAGCCTTTGTGCTCCACTGTCTCTCAGATTAACTCATACCGCAGCGGTGCCTGGACAGCGTGACGTGTGTGGTTGTGCTGCTGCCGTGGTCCTGCCAGATGCCTCCTGCTGCTGCTGCCATCATTAGTCATTAGTCATACTTCTACTGTTATTATACACATATGACTATTGTCACACAAGTATACTGTCAGATATTAATACATACTTTCAACATATTGTACCACAGTAGCCAGAACTATAACTATAATATTATTACTTTCATTAATGTTGTTGTAAGCTACTGTCATTACCTGCATCTCTCTCTCTCTCTCTCTCTCTCTCTCTCTCTCTCTCTCTCTCTCTGTCTCATTGTGTCATATGGATTACTGTTAATTTATTATGCTGATCTGTTCTGTACGACATCTATTGCACGTCTGTCCGTCCTGGAAGAGGGATCCCTCCTCAGTTGCTCTTCCTGAGGTTTCTACCGTTTTTTTTTCCCCGTTAAAGGGTTTTTTTTGGGGAGTTTTTCCTTATCCGCTGTGAGGGTCTTAAGGACAGAGGGATGTCGTATGCTGTAAAGCCCTGTGAGGCAAATTGTGATTTGTGATATTGGGCTTTATAAATAAAATTGAATTGAATTGAATTTAAAACTTTTATGTTTTATCTAAATCACGTTATTTAAAAAATCTCATTATGCAGCAGTGGACACATTGGAAAGTGTAAATTATGAGGTTTCTGTCAATACTTTTTTCACGCTTGTATGATAAAAACTCAGGTGGAGACATTAATCCAAATACTAAATGACATATTTATCTAAATCCTGCCAAGCTCTGCCGGCGCAGCTTTCATTGAGGATCCACACATGCATCCTTTGAATTTCTCTGAAAGAAGGACTCAGTCCTTCGTAAAACTCTGAAGGATCCATGACATTGGAACAGTCCCTCGGCAGCGTAACGTCCTTCAAATTCGGCTGTTTGAGGATCCTTCCTTGACATTGAGAAACACCTAGTGAGAGTTTTTAGTTCAGCTTGTTCATGTTCCACCTGTCCACGTGTCCTGCAGGTGTCCTCACTGAGTCCTCAGGAGGAGGTTCGGGCGCTGGTGGAGGGTCAGTTTCTGTCCAGGAGGCTCCATGCTGAGAGGCTGGGATACTCCATCAGTAAGAACCCCACCTCTCCACCTTTATTTAAAGCCTGCTCTGCTCTTCATGTTTCCTTTATTTCTTTCTTTCTTTCTATATTACAAATTTTTACTGAATAATCTATTTTTGCATTAATTTTTAACTTACTTTTAATTTATTGATTCATTTTAAAATGTATTTGTGTATTGGTGTCTTTCTTTCTTTCTTTCTTTCTTTCTTTCTTTTTGTGTCCATCTTCTTCCTTCAATATTTGTTGAGTCCTTAACTTTGATAATTTTGTATTTTTTTTTCTTTCTTTGTTATTTGCTTTTTACATGACATTTTACCTTCCCTTCCTTCATTCTTTCATTCATTATGTACTCTATCTACCTTGTTTTTATGCTGTTGCGCTGGCAATAGATGTGGACAGAGGCATAATGCTATCTCAAGAATGCCTTGAAGGGAATTTCTTCAACTTTGGCATAAACGTCCACGTTGACTCAACAATGAACTGATTAGATTTGGGTGGTCAATGGTCAAGGTCACTGCGACCTTGCGTTTGTCTTATTCATATGAACACAATAGCTCAAAAACACCTTGAGGGAATTTCTTTGAATTTGGCACAAACGTCCACTTTGACACAGAGATTAATTTATTATAATTCGGTGGTCAAAGGTCTCTGTGACCTTACAAAACATGTTTTTGGCCATGAATTAAACATTTCACATTATGACAAAATTTCACACAAATATCTAATAGGATAAAACAATGAAGTGATATCATTTTATATCTCAAAGGTCAAAGTTCAGCTTTACTGTGACATCACGATGTTCTGCATAAAACACTTTTCTGGTCATTACTCATCAGCTTATTTCAGGAGCAGAAGGGGAGACCATTGGTCAGACACTGATTGGTGACACTAAACTGTGATGATTGTATAGATCTTCTGAGTGTGAAGCATCTATGTTTTAGAATTTGTAGCTTCTTTGAAGCAACATGTATTTTTGAGGCATTGTCAGCTGTATGTGAGTCTGGACAGATATTGATGTAAACTGTAACTGAAACTTGGCTAGTTGGCGAAGGCATACAACCATGAGGTGGTAATTGTAGTTTTTTGCAGGAAGTTCTTCTTTTGTTGTTGAATATTTGATTAAAACATTAAAACCACTCACAGAGGGTTTCTCTTACCAGCCACTATCAGCTGCAGCGTCCGTAAGTTTTAGTCTCAGGTAAATGATAAAACTTCATTCATGTGTGTTTTAGTTCCAGGAACCAGAGTGTTGGCAACAGGAGGAGCCTCATCTAATAAAGAGATCCTGCAGGTCAGTCCTCGGCCTCACCCGTCTGTCTCACAATTATTATTACTATGATTACAGTGTTGTTTGTTGTGTCAGTAATATTCCAGGTGAGGTTACACCCCCTGCTGAGGGAGGAAGTCTCTCACTCTAATCTGTGGTTTTGATGAACTGACCTATTTCTGTATGAATTATTTTCATCCAAAAATGTTTTTAAATATGCCATTTTAAAGAACCTTCAGACATTAAAAGTTGTATTTTTTTGCATCCATTACCAACAATTTAAGTGAAAGTGTTTAATTACTTGGCCTTAACAGAGATTGATTAATAAACACTTCCCTCAGTATATATGACTTTGGAGGATAAAAACTGCCAAAATAACAAATAAATACATAAACAAATGACTTTGTCAATTAATGTCATTAAGTTATAAAAAAAATAAATGTAGGCATTGATTTGTTTATAAAATGTAAATTAATATTTCTGTTATTATTTGCTTCTTTATTTATTTAATTTTGTATTAATTCCCCTATTTATTGACTTAACTCTTTCATTTGTTTATTTATTGTTATCAATTTTTGATTAGTTAATGTATTTATGCATTTATTTTGTATTTAATTTTGATATATTTTTTAAAGTGTTTTTGGCATCTTATGTCCTCCTTATATGCCCACATTTTTTGTTTTACATTTTTTATTAATAAATATTTTTTTAGTTTCAGTTTTAATTTACTTTTAACTTAGTAATTCGTTTTTAAAGCCGCTACAAGGAACTTTTAACTGGATATGCAAAAGTCTCTTGTTTCTGCTGATGTCTGTGCATGACCTACAACAGCAAATGAGACCATCGGTGTGAAGATAAGCTATTTCTATACAGTGTATATCCATACCTTTAGGAAACTGTGTCCGAGTCCGTCGCAGGTCGCTTCCAGGACGAAGCAATTTACGGCACTCAGACGGCACACTTCATCTTACCTAGCTGCTTACATTTAGTGACTCTTATAAATAGTCGCTATTCCTCCTCCTCTAGACTCACAAGTCAGTCTTTAGACGCTTTGCTTAACTGAAGACTGATGACTTTCTCCCTGATTTTGTGTTTAGATGGGCGGATACAATTTCAGAGTTTAAAAAAACTCCCTACGTTGCAGAACCAATAGTAAATCTGCAAGGCGGTCCTTCAGTGGCTCGCTGAACTCTTGTGCTTGTAAACATAGTCCCACTAGAAACACGTGTAGTGGTACAAAATGGCTCAGCCGCGCTCGCAGAAAAATCCGTCAAAGTTAGTGGATGTTTGTCGCGTTTGCGGCGACACATTCTCGCCAACTAAAAGAAACAAACATAATCTTTTACAAGGCCATGACTCATCCGTCCGGCCGGACGATAGAGGGAATCGCCTTGTTGTTTACAAATACTTCCGGGTAGAAAACCAGCAGAGCTTTTAGCTATACATATATA